TCTCTCTCTCTCTCTCTCTCTCTCTCTCTCTCTCTCTCTCTCTCTCTTTCTCTCTCTCTCGCTCTCTCTCTCGCGTAATTCGGCCGCCGCGCCGTCTTGTAAAAACAACACCATGTGCCGCGTAATTAAGCGGCGCGCTATGTTAACGTTGATGTAATAAAAATGGGAATTTAATATCGCGCTCATCATTTTCGAGTTTGCCACACCATTTAAACGAAGATCGATCGGTAATACCACCGCTGCGTGTATAAATAAGTTTTCGAGTAAGTCACGCGAATATCTACACGCGGGCGAATGTGTCCGTCATCAAGAAGATATTAACGCGAGATATTACTCTTTTAACATCGATTTTTTTAATTTATACAAAAGTTAATTAGAAGAAAATAACCTTCCAGAGTATCGTTCGTTACAGTTTTTTTTTTTTCGTGGACGCGATACCGGAAAGAACCATGATGTAATGAGAACATGGCACAATTATATATTTCTCTCGAGCATTCTGTTACAATTAGGGATTTACAAGCACGCCTAACTCTCTTTACGTAGAGGATGTATCCGCGTTATCTATAATTTATGACAATGCCGGCGAGAAAATTTTACGACTCATTCCGCGCCCAGAATTTATTGCCAATTACTTGACTTCGTGCCCAGAAAGAATCGAGGGTTCTTCCACAGAGGATGTATATACGCACGTAAAGGAAGGAAGTCCCTTCGCCCTTCTTCACGCCACATTTCCATCCACCCGTCGGCGTCGGATGGACGCAAGGAGAATTCACCCTCTCGCGGCTCGTATAAATTCTTATATCGCGGATGATTACCGGTCGACAGCGGCGCTTGAATTTAAGGGTACAACCTTGATGAGAGTCTCGAATCGCGTCTTCACTCCACCGCTCCAAGATATTCCAGTCACATCTCGAAAACCGTCCGCCGAAAATGAAGAAACGATTATCGCAAGCAAGGAAAGAAACGGCATCGAAAATGTGATTACAGAATAGCTTGTTTTCGCTGCTACCTCAAAAGAGAAGAAAGAGAAGAGACGCAAACCGAGGAAAAATAATTTTTCCACCGATGAGACCCGCGGGAGAGACAATAACTCTTTGGAATATAACGTTTCTCGAAGCGTCCGTTAATCCCAGCAACCTGGCGACAAGCGCGTGACGAAAATTGAGATATCGAATTTGATTTCCGATTCAAGTTGGAAGAGGGATTAAGATTCCGGCGATTGTTGACCGATGCATACAATTAAATGCAATTTTACGCTGCAGAATATGCAATATTTTCCACGTATCTAGCAGGATATCAAGATCGTGTGTTCTTTCCGTTGTTTTTGTATTTATATTTTATATTTATAATGCAACCGTGTTCTCTTAAGTCACGCTATACATATATACAATACATTTCTTATTCCGTTGATATTATTTGGTTTTTAAAATAATATGTAGCGCTCTCTCTCTCTATTCACATTGCAGATTTTTTTCTATATCTGCAAATTGTGCATGTAATGGTTAGTCGTCAGTTTTCTGCAGCTATTGTCTATTGTAGCAATAGACATTCAGTAGTCCGGTTTATATTCCGATATCATTCCCGTTTACCTGTGTTTCTGTGTGAAACAAACGAATGTTTCTCTCGCCAGTCCTGTAAAAGTCTAAAATTTTTCGACTATACAACCCTGCAAAACACTTTCCTTATTTCCTCGGAGCGTACGTATAAGCTGCTCCGTTTATCGAGTACGTAGCTCGAAGATAAAACGAATACGCATTTATTCTCTCCCTAATCTCCGATGCGACACATCGTCGCGAATTTTCCGGAGCCGATGCGCCACAAAAGCGCGTACAAGCGGCGTAATTACTGTAATTGCATAATTAAACATTGAATTAAATTGATTCTCTGGCCGCAGATAATTATAATCTAATTTATAGCAATTATTAAATATTTGCCATTCTAGTAGATTGTTGGGATAGTGATTTATATTAGAAATGAATGTTTTATTTAAATGCGCGCGCGGTCTCTGTAAACATTGTCCAAAATGTCGCTGTATTTACAGGATTAATACAATAATATT